AAGCCAATACATTGTCAGAAATGTCTGTTCTCATTTTTGTTTTTTTTTTTTTTTTCATGTCTTTTAGTAATGGTCGATAACTGATATACCTTTCGAGATGCTGACCGTTTTGAAAATGTACGAGCTTTCTTACGTTAGTTTTTGTTGTTATTACAGTACTCCACTATTGAAAACAAGTATAGAAAAATACATTCTACCATCAAATCATTATGTTGCGATTTCAGACCTTATTTCTTTGTAGATCGAAAAATCCCAACAAAAATTACTATGAAAAATTTATGATGAAATTCGTGTCAATTGCTGACAATTTATTTAATCGTATTTATAAATTTCATTTTACTAGTGCTCAATGTGTACAAGGTGTGAGCCTCCTCAATTTATTAAAAAAGGCTGAAATCGTCTGTGATTTTCATTTTTCATAAGCTTGATATGTTAGTAAATACATCCGCATGAATTATAACGCGTGATTTATTTGTTTTGCGTACGTATGTAGGAAATTGAAAACTTGAGGGCGAAAATTTTGAGTAATTTCGGAGGAAGACCGGACAACTCAGTTGAACTCTACCAACGAGGACTGTGCGATGTAATACCGACGGGAGTAGAAAGGTATAAACAGTTTTTTAAGTAAAACAACGCATAAAAAGCCGAATAAATTGTGTATGAAAAAAAAAAAAAAAATTATAAAAATAATAATAGTAGTAATAATAATAATAATAATAATGATAATGATAATAAAATCAACTTTCATGGTTATTAGCCTGGACATTTTGCTGGAAGGAGGTCTGTTCTGTGGTAAAATGTATGAACTCTGCGGGCACTCGTCAGCGGGTAAATCACAATTGTGTAATTGGATTTCCATACAGGCAACTGTAAACGCGTCCACTGAAGTGCATTATATGGACACGAGCAGTAATTTTTGCATCTCCAGAATACAGATGATACTGGAGACTCGAGAGTCTACCAACAGGGTAAATATTTACCACTTGATTTTTAAAATGCCACTCAAGAGAGTGATTTGTTGAAAAAATGCATTTGACTGCAGGTCGTAGCCAAAGTTATGAGCAACATCAAAGTGTACAAGATTACGAAGGTGAGCGACGCATTCTCGGTTCTGTATGGTTTGGCTAACGCGCCCAAGGATCAAGCTGAAAAGTGCAAAAAGCTGGTCATAATCGACAGTCTGACCGCCCTGTTAGCCACGATTTCTCACAACGATTTGAACCCGCTGTTGAGCAACTTGTCCTCGGTGTGTCGCTACTTCGCGAATCGCTGCCGCGGGACCGTCGTGACTGTCAATACTGTCAGGGAAGGGAGCCGAACTCTTATTGGCACGGACAAGGACATCGTTATGAGCAAGAAGCCCGCCCTGACGAATTACTGGCTGAGCGTGCCCAATGTTAGACTGTTGATGGGTGACTTGGGAAAGGCTCGCAAGAAGATCGAGGTTTGGAAAAGTTGCCAGCTGGTGAACGGAAGAAGTTGTACGATGGGCATCGGGGAAGAGGGAATTTTTTCAGTGTGAAGTACATTTATTAATATAGTGCAAAATTATTTTAATCGATTTACTTGACCCCATTCTGATTCAGCGGTTTGGTATTTTTAAAAACATTTTTTATAGTGAGTTTTCGATTGCAAAAAATTATGGGTTTTGTGAGAGATTCGACTTTTGCACTAATAAGTATATATTTAATATACCTAGATAAGGAATATAGGCTCCATGCACAAAGACACCAGCGTCAACTTGTGGCTGGATGGTGAGTCCGCGTGGTTATGAGAATACACGGAGTAGCATCGTTGCCTAAAATCAAAAATTTTTTTCATTAATATTAAGATCCTTTCTAATAGTCTGATCATTTCAATTAGAATTTCTAACTCCTCAACTTTACGATGGTATTTTTTTCAGCATGAGATTTTGCTGTAATCAGTTGTAAAAGAGACATATGTTCCTTTGTTGCTCGTACATATAAGCCATATTGCATATATTATTACTACTAAGTATTCTCTATCTTATTTACACACTTTACTGTAATATGCAGTATAGCTTACGTGAACGAGCAACAAAGAAACATATGTCTCTTGTACTACTGGTAATAGCATAATCTCATTCTAAAAAATATATCATCAAGTTAAGTAGTAAGGGATTCTAAGTGAAATAATAGGACTTTTAGAAAGGATTTCGAAATTAATAAAATAAATTATTGACATTAGGCAACCATGCTTCTCCATGAATTCTCGTAACTACATGGACTCCTTTTCTAGACGCAAGATGGTGCTGAAAGTTTTCGTACATGGAGTCTGTAGTGACAATGTTAATAACAATGATAATTATCAAAATAATACTAACAATGCTTAGTATTACAATAATAATAATAATAATAATTATAACAAGCTTGCAAGAAAGACAATGCAAGCTGCTTTCAAAAACAGCAAAAAGCAGTGCTGGCAGATTCTGTGCCGAAAAGTAAATAACGACCCCTGGGGCAGAACATACCAGATAGTGATGGGAAAACAGGAAAGACTTGCACCAACTGCAAATAAAGACGTGGATACCATTAGGCAGATCGTGAATACGCTATTCCTGACGCATCCAGAACTCGAGGATGAAGCAGACTTGGAGCTCATAGAAGATGTACCTTTATTTACCCAGAAGGAACTGGAGCTAGCAGCCAGATCGTTAAAAAATGAAAAAGCTCCTGGACCAGATGGCATACCTACAGAAGTCATTAAAACAGTGGTGGCAAAACACCCATAGCTGCTCTTTAACCTATACAATGTATGTTTGCCGATATGTATGTATGATCGATAAAGGCAAGGGGGAGCCTGAGCCCCCGTCATCTTTCAGGCCTTTATGTTTGCTGGGCACGCCTTAAAATTTATACGAAAAGCTGCTTAAAGACCGTATTCTAAAGGCCATACAAAATGCAGGAGACTCATCCAACAGGCAGTACGGATTTGGGAAAGCAAGGTCTACCATAGGAGCAGTAGAAGAAGTAGTAAAAGCAGCTTAGAGCAGTCAAGACATATGCCATGGAGCAAGACCTCTCGTTCTTCTGGTGACTTTGGATGTAAAGAACGCTTTCAGCTTAGCAAGATAAAAGGACATGCTTCACGCTCTAAAATACACATTCAGAACACCAGACTATTTCTTGAGAGTATTGAGGGATTATCTCAAGGACTGCTTGTTGACCTATACGACAACAGAAGGTGAAACAAAGAAAAAGATAACTGCAGGGGCACTCCAGGGATCCATACTGGGACCCGATCTCTGGAACATGTCATACGACCGACTACTCCACCAGGAAACGCCAGAGGGGACGTTCATGGTAGGATACGCTGACGATGCTGCTGAAGTGATCGTCAAACACACGATGAAACTTGTCCCGATACGACTGAACTAGGTTATTCAAAGAGTGGCTCCATGGATGGAGAACCATGGACTCGAAGTTGAAGCAGGGAAGACAGAGATGGTACTCTTGACGAGAAAAGAGATAGATATCATCATCTCCCTTAAGATACAAGAAGAGGAAGTAATTACGAAGGATGCCGTAAAATACCTAGGGGAGACGCTGGATAGAAAGCTCACATTTTAGAACCACCTTAGGCAAGCAGCAGACAAGGCGGTGGCAAGAGTAGCAGCATTTAGCCGTATCATGCCAAACAGAGATCCAAAGCCTGCAAAATGCAGGCTCCTTATGTCTACGGCCCAGTCTATTATTTTGTACGTGGCTGAGATATGGGGAGAAAAAATGAACGTCGAAAAAAAGATAATGAAAATCGGCCAAGTTCAAAGAATAGAAGTCTTGAAGATAGCCTGCGCCTATCGCACAGTCTCAGAGTCTGCGATAATGGTGATAGCGGGCGTAATCCCCATCGACCTCCTTGCGAGGAAAAGACGATTGAAGCACCGTACGAAACAGGACCTAAAGATAATGGAGGCCAAGAAAAACGCCCGGGTAAGAACCTGGAAACGCTGGCAACAT